CCTGGGCTGTTCAGGCTGCCCTGTCAGCGAGTCTTTGATGCAGAGCAAGAAGAGAGCTGGTGCGAGGAAGGGCAGTGTTTTAATTCCATAAACACAACACAGGCAGAGTTTTAATTCCATGAACACAACACAGGGCTTGCACACAGAAAGAGGGATCTGGGGACGCAGTAACTGGCACCATTAGGAGTATTTCTACTTACTGTGCAGCTCAATGTTCCTCTTCTGCAGCTGATGACTGAAAGGTTGTTGCAGGAGATTCCCTTGCAGATGACAATCCCTCATCCCTGGGGTGGGAAGGTGCTCCCGTTCCTTCGTGCTCCGGCCTAAACCGATCCATTTTGGTTTGGTTTGTCTTCTCCCCACAGCATGTCTGGGATGATTTCAGGTGGCCACAACCCCATGGGAGCCACGGGCACCAGCCCCTCCACCAACGACCTCGCCAGCCTCATCCAGGCGTGAGTGGAGCTGCAGGGGCTGGGAACTGGGGCTTGGGGGGGCCCAGAACCTCGACTGAACAGCTGGGGGAGGTTTGACCTGTTGGGTGGGGTTGTGGCTCCTTTGGGGGTGGGAACTGCTGGTTGAGTGGGGTTCTGGGGTCCTGAGCAGAACCAGAACCTTGGTTTAACCCTCGGGGGAGGTTTAAATGTTGGGTTCTCCAGCATTTCTGGGTGTTGTGGTGCCGGGGGCTGTTGTGACAACGGGTTGTGGAGCGTTCCCAGCCCCAGGCTGTGCTGGGGGGTCAGAGCTCTGGTCCCAGCCGTGTCCCCCCCGTGTCCCTGTCCCTCAGGGGTCAGCAGTTTGCCCAGCAGATGCAGCAGCAGAACCCTGAACTAATAGAGCAGCTCCGGAGCCAGATCAGGAGTCGAACTCCAAGTGCCAGCAACGAGGACCAGCAGGAATGAGCTCTCCAGGTGAGACTCCAGCCAGGAATGCTGCCCCAGTTCGAGAGGGGGGTAATTTAGTTGATTTCTAATAAGCTTTGTGCTTTAATTGAGCCATTTGGTGCCTCTCTGGGGCTCTGCAGGGCTGAGCTCAGAGGGGTCAGTGACACCTTCTCACACCCTGGGGACTCACAGACCAGTTTGGGCTCCGTGGTTAAAAAACCAAATAGTTCAACTTTATTTCTTTTTAGTTTTTATAAAGGTTTTTTACTAAATGAATGGGTTTTCTTTTGTTTTTTATGAAAGAAGTGGGGTTTTGTGCTAAAGGGTTTTTTTTTTAATAAGGGAGGTTTTTTCCTAGAGTTTGTTTGTTTTTTTTTTTGCTCAAGGAGATTTTTTTAATGGAGTTTTTTTTTGCTAAAGGAGGGGGTTTTTTTACTAAAGAAGTTTTTTTTACTGAAGGAGGGTTTTTAAAACTGATTATTTTTTTTTACTAACGAAGTTTTTTCTAAAGGTTTTTTTTTTTTTGCTAAGGGAGGTTTCTTTAGTGAAAGGAGTGGAGTTTTTTCACTAAAGAAGTTTGTGATTTTTTACTGAAGGAGGGGTTTTTTTACTAAAGGAGTTGTGTGGGTTTTTTTACTGAACTTTATTAAAATGGCTAAACTTCCTTTCCTTCCTTCCCCCCCTCTCCTGTCCCTCTCTCCACAGCACAGCCCGGGGGAACTTTGGTGTTTGCTTTAAAAACTGGAAGCCATGTGCGTGTTGCCATTTCTTGAGTTGGAAGTGTCCAAGAGGGGGGAAAAATATAATGGAAAAAAACCCCACAAACCCCAAACCCCTTTCTCTGACCTGCATGTTCAAGGCAGACTCACTCTCTGTCCCCAGTCCTCCGCCCTGCTCCTCCCTCTCACCCTTCCCATTAGTCCTTTTCCTCCTGGAAGAGCCAGCAGGCTGAACACAGACCAGCATCGAGGCTTTCTAACAGAACTGGGGGAACCACATGGATGCACTTCCATGGGATTTGCTCCCTTGGGGATTTTTTTTAACCCGTTTTTTGAAGACCGAAGCACCGTCACTCCAGGACTCCTTGGTTTTCCTGCCCACGGGCCACTTCCAAGAAGTGTTGAAGTCCCTCCTAACCCAATCCTGCCACTCATGAGACAACGTGTGACCTCTCTGGAGATCCTGGGATCTCGTGGCCTCCAGGATTTTGGTTCCTTAGCAGGACTGCACTCCCCGGTCGGGGCTGGGGCAGCTTCGCCAGCGTCGTTATCCCGGGAGTTTGGTGCTCCCCTCTCCCAGGTAAACGTGGGGGGGGCTGGGACTGGCCAGGCAGAACATCCCCACCTGCTCCTCGTGCACTTTTTGGGGGTCATTCTCCCCGAAAGTCCTGACAAAGCTTTAGGAATTCTGGCTGTGTGGGAGCGATCCGGGTCGGGTTGGACGGTGAGGGAGGTTAAAGGTGTTTTCAGTGTTTAAAAGGAGTTTTTCTTGGTTGTTTTTTTTTTTTTGTTTTTTTAAATCTTTTCTGCATGTAAGTAACAACCTGGCTGACTGTGCTCACGTAGGGAAAGAGGGGGCCAGGGTAGAGCAGAGGGAATAAAATGTTTGGATCAAGGAATCAAGTGGCTGCTGGTTCAACCGTGAGGGGCTGGGGAGGGGGAAGCTCCTGGAGCCGCCTCGGGCCCCACCTTGGGCAAGCCCAGAGCTCCCCAAAAGTCCCTCCTTGAGGCCAGAGACTTTTCTATCCACTCACACTCGGTTTGAAAGCAGATTTTTGGGAGTGGTGGGGCCGGGGCAGGGCTGGGGAAGGCGGGAGGTGGGCGAGGCCCTCGGGAGCCCTGGGGGAGTGAGCAGGGACAGTGGGAGATGAATATCATGGCAAAACTGACCTGTAAATGCTCCATGAAGTTACTGTGGTTCGTGTCACTTGTGAGGAATAAAACATTTGGACACTTTCGTTGTTATCCCTCATGCCCGGGTGGCTCAAGGGGCTCCTTTCCAGAGGCTTCTGTGGGGTCAGGGCTCTGCTCCCTCGGGGCTGGGGCTGCCCTGGGGCACATTTTATCCCCTCTACCCAGGTTTTTTTTTGTTCTTCTCTGCCAGAATTCTCCTCCCGTGTGTTTCTGCAGCACAGAAATAGGAAATCTTTCTCTCCATGTCTGCTCCCCCCCTGCCTTTGAGCTCTCTCCTGCTGCTCTCTGCAGCCTGACAAAAGGGGTTTTACACTCCAGCACAGCATGGGAAGAAAATGTTCCAGAATTATCCAAAAAGAAGAAACCACAGGCAGTTTCCCCCCCCCCAGTTTTCAGCTCATTTCAGTGCTGTTCCTTCCCTTGCCCTCCTTGTTCTTTTGTAACTTGTTCTCTTTCTCTGCCTCTCTTGGTTTTCTTTTCACACCTCGGAGCTCCGTGTGCAGCTTTCCACGGGGAATTGCTCCTGCCCTGCAGGGCTGTGGCAGGTCCTTGCTGCCTGCTTTTGAACTTTTTCTTCCAGACTCCCACGTTCCCCAGCTCCTCTGGGAGCCGACAGCGAAAATAATGGAATTTTATGGGATTTTAAGGTTCACTTCAGCTCTCGCAGGGGGCTGCAGTTTGTGCACTTTAACCACACGCAGTTGGAAGCTGTAAGAGCAGGGGATGGCGGAGTGGAGGGCGCTCTCCCAGGGGAGTTTTTCCCATTC